TTGGGTTAGTAGGCGACTAGAGCGGTGCGATTTGTTAAATATTCGGACTATAGTTACCAAAATAACCAGCATGCGATGAAAGCTTATATAAACCATTATAATGAATACCCCACCATCATCCTTATGTTCTATTGTCCATTACTTCCGGAAAAAATAAATAGACATCCATACCGTAACGCATTTTATCAAAATATGACAAAAAATGTTTTAAAGTAAAGGTGATAGCTGTTTCGTGATTTTAGTAAACTAGTGAATTTTCCTAACTTGATTTGCAGAAATATATTCCAATAAACTTCCTCGAAAGGTCAGCTAACACAAGGATGAATAAGTCCCGCTGCAAAGGTGACGGCATTAAGTCAACGATGTTGACAGTTTACATATCCCTGTGATAGATAGAGATAACTAAAGCAGTTACAGGTGACCGTGACTTCGTGTGTGTGTGTGTGCGCGCGCGTGTGTGACTAAAACAGTTGAAACCCCTACCACCTAAAAGTTAAGCAAATGCACCCTACATTTAAAAGGCGTCAAACGCGTCAAAGCGTGTAACATGTTAAGGATCTTAACGTGCTTAGGAGCTAAACGCGTCGAAAAAATGAGACAAAACAGGCGCTTAGAAATGTGTTTAAGTGCTAAACACTGTTTTTTACAGTGTACACTACACTACACTACACTATAGAGTCGATGAATATCTCCTTACAGTTTGCAAAATACCCCTACCTGTTTTTGTTCAAAAGAACTTCAAAGGACCACGGGTTTGGCTCCACAATCAATCCTTCCCAGTCTCGAGAAATCTCGAAGAAGAGAGAATTGGAATGAGCCTCTCCATCATATGCTCCTGATTCCACGAAGAATCCGTTACGGCGTTGCTTCAAAATCTCGTCTACCAATTTTGATTGCCCCATTTGATCCCAGTATGTTGCCTTTGGGTTGGAAAGATTATAGTGCAGCTTGGAAGGAGGAAGAATCCATTTCCCTCTTAAGTGTTCTAAAAGGTCTTCACTGAGGAGTCTATATTCCCGGTTCCAAGACGTTTAATAAATTCTGTGGTCAAACTGTTATTGTGTAGACGTTCTTTTATAAAATCACTCAAGTGTTTTGATAAGTAATCCGATTTTGTTTCACGAACGGGATGAAAAATAATCATGAAAATACAAACAACTAGGATAATAACGGCAAGAACAGCAATTATCCATTTGTTCATCGCCATATCGCCATATCGCCATATCACCTCTAGTTTTTGAGCTTGACAAAGAATTCTAAATATTTTTATTGAAAATTACAATTTAAAACAAAATCATGGGGAAGAGTAAAAGTTTAAATCCAAATTTGTGAAGTGCAATTAATGGCGAAAAGAAGGTCAAATGTCAATTTTAAGTTAAATTGCCAGTATATGACTTCCTGTTCAAGTGCAATAGTAACTATATGGGCGTTCCTCTACCAGTTTTGGGGATACAACGAACCAAAAAGTTGCAAAGTTCAGTCCATGGTAAAAAGTAGGTCAAAGGTCAATTTTAAGGTCACAGATTGTCAATATATGACTTCCTATTAAAATCCTATAGTAATTATGGCCATATCTATGCCAGTTTTAAAGGTAAAGCATTGAAAAAGTTTCAAACTTCAGGTCATGGTGAAAAGTAGGTCAAAGGTCAATTTCAAGGTCACAGTTAAATATACTCTATGACTTCCTATTCAACTTCAATAGTAACTATGGACCTATCTCTGCCAGTTTTGGAGATATAAGGGACTAATGTTACAATTTTAGAGTTACAATAATGTGCCATAAATTTCCTACAGAAGAAATTAACTGAAATAAAGAAAAGATTATTTTGGTTGAAATTCTTGAAATGGGAGGCGCTCAGAAGTTCCAGATGTTCAAATTTCATGAAATAATGTCATTTTTTGACCAGAAGTTGTCTGCCTCGACAAGCCTTATGTTTTCCAGACGTTCAAAAAATTTATGCATATTACCGTATTGCACATTTTACTTTCACCACCAAAATGTACTTTTTGATACAGCATAGCTCGTAAACCGTATGGAAAACAAAAAAACGGAGGTCACTTTCAGTGTTTGGCTTGACATGCTCTATCAAATGCAAAAAAAAAAAAAAAAAAAAAAAAAAAAAAAAAAAAAAAAAACAAGAGGTCTCTAGCATTAACGATTCCAGAATTAGAGAGAGTTTTCTGTTTCGGCATCTAATGGCCGCTGCTCCCGTGAAAATGCACCGATTGCCGCAAACTCACGGAGATGAAAGATGACCTGAAGGTGTACTTCAGGTATTTATATCCCGAAATTGAACGATTTGTATAGATCACGTGTATGGGTGATAATAATTTGTACTAAAATGAAAACGATATTAATGCACAGTAAACCGTTTTCTTCACCCATCAAATTTTGTGACAAACAATTTTTTCTAGCGTGTGTGTAGTAAATGATCCCTAAGATGACCTAAAAACATGACAATTCTATTCTGAGAGCTTTTCTTTTCCATAATACACAGACTGGTTTGTCTGTGTCTCAATTTTAAGCGTTGTTTTAGTGTCATTTTCGGCTAAGAATTAAAAAGTTTAAAATACACAACAATGTTTGGAAACACAAAATTGTCTGTTATAATAAGACAAACCCATACTCTTTCATATGGAAGCACCGTACCCCCATTGTAATCCAACACTTAGGAATATTTTGACAGACTCTCAAAGATGATAACCCCTTGCTGTTAATATATTCACTTACCTTCAGAATTGCTGTTCTGTTTAAGAAACCAAAGTTCTGATCTGCGTCGAGCTTACCTTCTAGATTAATACTCAATACTTGCACACCCAGACATAAACCTGTATAATAAGCGTCCCAGAAAAAGTCTACATAACAGTGGCACGATACTGGCGTCAGAAAAGGAAATGAAAGAGAAAAATTATGCGGGATAGTCGATATGATGTTGATATTGTATGCAATACTTGTACCCCAATGTAAATAGTCTGCTGATTTTTAAAAAATTTAAATTAGAATTTAATTTGACTCAGACATAAACGTTTCAATTCACACGCTAGGAATCAATGAAGCTCGAGATTTCATTCTTACAGAATACCGTCCATGTACATACTGTGATATGAATATTCGCCTTGAAATAATAGGCCCTTCTTGAATGTTAAGCAATTTAATAAATAGTGCATAATCTACTCTCTGTTTTCACAGGTTTCTCTGGTATAGCCTGTTGCAAAATTAAAGAAGTCCCTGTGAGATCTTACACGATCAAGCTGTCTACTTTTATGTAACTACCCCTTCCCTATCCGCTCATTATAGACTAGGCGCTGATCCTGCAAAGAGGAGTAAAATGTAACATTTATTTCTTCGGCAACCTATATTCGGTTCGTCATTGTGTTATGATATAAAATGTCTACATGTCAATATTACATGGGAGGCGTCCTATAAAACGTGCCGCTGATAGAGGGCGCCAAAACCAGTTACTCTTTAATTGGCAATTACATAAATTCACAAGCAAATTAGATTAAAAAATCTATGAATCAACCAACAATATAACTGTGAAGCAGATAACTCATTTTCAGTTGTTAGAGCAAACAATAATTTTATGATCATGATTGAAAGAAAGTCTAGTTTTCTTTACTGTGCCGTCACATTTGCTATATTGACTGTCTCTGGGAGATCTTATTTCTCTAAAAATGTATCTTGAATAACGAAATTCGCCATGCCAATTCAGTTCACGTACATAATAATAATAATGTGATAATAAAAACAATATTTATTTAAAGTCTAAAACCCTTAAAAGTTCAGTAGATTTTACAATGACATAATACTTAAATATTGTAGTATTAAAAAACAATCTGTAAAACCATAGTTAAGGCTTTATTGAAGAGGTTCGTTTTCTTTTTCTTCTACATATGATCTAAATACCAGACTCGTATTAGTTTATAAAAGCAGTACACAGTTGCACTCTGTTATTTTATCTACAATACTAATGTTTGCTTTTTTGTAAATGTCATTCACTGCAAACAAGATCATTTGTTTTTTATACGCTTTCATATTTGGTTATTTTCGTTACCCCTGAAAGCCACTCTTTAGTTCTCGAGATGTGTGAAACGTTCCCTTTCTTTAGCGTGATTCGTGAAGCACCCTATTCCCGTGACTCGTGAATGTAATTTCTATTCTCCACCCTTCGTGAAACAAAGTCATTACACCCGATGGTTCGTGATTTTTAGGATTTTCGACGCGCATTATCATGCCCCTATTTCACACAGACCACGAATTCCACGAATGGCCATGAATTGACAAATTTTGTCAATTCCTGGCGATTCGTGGGATTCGTGGTCTGTGTTAAATAGGGGCCTCAGAGAGACATGAATAGAGTTTTATTTAGTATAATTTGTAAATTAATGACTTCATTTCCAAGTGAATTCTTGAAAAGTTTGTGATGAAACACTACACAGCTTTTGCCACGCTTAACTTATTGCAATTGTGAAAATACATTGAACATCGATATACTTGGTATGAACTATGTGCTCAATAAAAATGATGTGATTTTTATTCAGTCAACAGCTAATATTGAGATAGTTTTTACCTCCAATATTTCGATGTCTATCAGGACATCTTCTTCAGGGAATGAGGCTATCCAGGTGACTGAAGAAAAAATCACATCATTCTATGTTATAACTTAACACAGCTGATGAAATTCTTCTCTGGTGCTCAATAACATTTTTACAAAGTTAAGCTACGAAATTAAAAAAGTTCATGTGCATTAATACTAGTGGGCTACACTAAACAGCCAAGATTCTGATTTTATCATTTATAAATCAGCATCCACTATTCACTAATGCAGGCCCGTAGCCAGCAATTTCAAAAGGGGGGTTCTTTTTCTGAAAAAGTGGACCTTTTCCCATAAAAACATAATAAACCTAGTTCAATTTTTGCCCAGAGTGGACCTTTTCCCAGCAAAAGGGGCGGTTCTTTCGAACCCCCCGAACCCCCCCTGGCTACGGGCCTGCTAATGTAAGCTTTACTATTCCAAACCTTGATATATGCATGGAAGATAGGCCTACCGGTACCACACTGACAAAGGGTAAGCCCACAAAAGAACTTTAAATTTCATAAAAACTGCAACTTTGTATGTGCTTACACTAGACCGTCACTCTCTTACCAAACGGAGAAATGTCACACTGATACTGGTACATCAACTGTTCTACATTATCGTTGCCTGTCACAGCAAACTGACCGACATTTGCTTCAATGGCACCTTGTGTGTCATCCTCGAGTTCAATGGATTTATACGCCTTATATGCGCGCATATACGATTTACTATTGAATATACGTGGAAAGTGCAGTTTTCCTCCAAATACACCACGGTTTGTAGACCTTTTAACTTTGATAGTTACTCATAAAGTGCCAGTCAAATTCAGTTTTACGTGCATAACCGAAAGACTTCTGAACACATGTACAGCTGCTGCTTGTACAACTACATCACTATGTATGCACGGACCAAAAGCAACATTTTTCTATCATTCTTATTGTGGAAATTTAGAAATACACGTGGAAATTTAGAAATACAGTTCCATTTGTAACATATACATAATCATGATTGCTGTTTCATTGTGGCACGTCCTTTCTAACAAACACTATATCTTGGCCTCCTAGAATGGTACCTTTCCTGTAGAGTCCTGTATTTTTGAAGATCTCCCTGATTGCTTTCTCACGTTTTGGCGTATCAGGACCTCCATCGTGAACTGCGTACTCTATAGTCCATACGTCAACTGTGACGTGTTCCCATGGAAACGATTTAAGGATTTCTATCTCAGCACCCTCTACGTCCAAGGTAAAGTAATCCACGTGAGTCCGGCCGACGGCGGCCAGGAGAGAACGAATTGGAAAACACTGTATGCGACTTTTTCCTTCTATCAAGTTTTGTTCCCTTTTAGGAATTACATGGCTGTGTTTTGGTATTCCTCCTATCTCCTGAGCAAACGTAAAATCAACCATTGCGGGACTGCGGCCCGTTGCTAAGCACGTATTAACAGCGTAAGTTTTCCTGGAAAGAATTTGAAATAAGACGTTTAGCCAGATGACGAGGAAATAAACGAACTTCTTTGATACGTGTAATATATTCAAGATCAGCAAACGAACATGTCGATCAGTAAAGACTCTCATTCTATATCTTAAATACACATTTTGATCGTCGTTAAGTATAGAATTTAGATGAGCGTATATGTCAAATTCATATTAATGCGAATTTAAAGATTGAACTTTCAATTTATTTAAAATAATAATAATAACTTTGTGACATTCTATTCACTCTTTTAATCTGAGAGACTGCTATCGTCTCTTAACACTACAAGACAAAAGAATGTGTGTATGGAAAATAACTCTGTACACTTAATGTGCTCCTGAAGAAAAATTAATCAGGCACTGCGACAACTGGATGTAAAAAAATCCAACAAAGCACATACATCACCGCTACACTAAAGAGGCGATAACTATCTCCTTTCTGCTCGTAAACTACCCTCACCTGTTTTTGTTCAAAAGAACTTCAAAGGACCACGGGTTTGGCTCCACAAGCAATCCTTCCCAGTCTCGTGAAATCTCAAAGAAGAGAGAATTGGAATGAGCCTCTCCATTATATGCTCCTGATTCCACGAAAAATCCTTTGCGGCGTTGCTTCAGAATCTTGTCTACCAATTTTGACTGCCCCATTTGATCCCAGTATGTTGCCTTTGGGTTGGAAAGATTATAGGGCAGCTTGGAAGGAGGAAGAATCCATTTCCCTCTTAAGTGTTCTAAAAGGTCTTCATTGAGGGAGTCTACGTTCCCTGTTCCTAGACGTTTAATGAATTCTGTGGTTAAACTGTTAGTGTGTGGAAGTTCTTTTATAGAATCACTCAAGTGTTTTGATAAATGATCCACCTTCGTTTCACAAACGGGACGAAAAACAATCAATGAAATGCAAACAACTAGGATAATAACACCAAGAACAGCAACTGCCCATTTGTTCATGGCCATCTTGGCTGTTTAATTTATCTGTGGCGTCCGTGGCTTTTGACTTATTTCTACGGTCAACTGAAAAAAGATTGGAAAGAAAACGTCGTGACTAAATAAGGCATTGACACTCTGCATTTTAAGGCTATGTTACGCCTATGTGAGGAAACTGAGGGCCCGTGTAACAGAAAGTCCACCCTCCATTACATTATGCTGGTTAGGGTTAGCCTAACGTAGGTGGGTCAAAATCTAAGCCGAGGCTTACTTACCTGTGCAAGTTAATAGGAACCGGACTATCTATCATGGGGGACTCATTGTCACGTCACATCGGGCTTAAAACCGCATGTAGAATGCGTTTGGGGCCACTCTCACTCCTTTCAAACTTGCAGCTATGACAATATTTGATAGTCAACATGAGATTCATACATCAATGTTAAAGAACTCGAAGATTATTTTTCGTTACGTATTTGTGAGAGTGTTCCAAAGTGGCCCAAAAATGACCAAATCCAGTCAGCCACGATAGTAGGTACTATTTATCTCTCCCAATTCTGACCATAACAATTTATAACCCCTAACCCCTAAACAAAATTGCCCCCTAAACAAAATTGCCTGGCTAGTGTCCATTATTCCTTCTGAAATATACAGGGAAACATGGCTGTCTAAATGGTCAGATGTCTAGAACTTAAGTGTCTAATTATGAATGGTATGTAACATTGAATCCGAGTAGAGGGACGGATCGATCGTTGGCCATTGGGTCGAAACATGCTTTTATGCCGAGGATAATTCGATTAGGATGCCTTAATGTTCGCGAAAAACCAGTTGTTGTGTGGGGGTGGTCGAGTGTCTCAGGAAAAGGAAGAAGAGAATTGGTTAGAGGTTTTTCGTCATACCGTCGGAATGGCCTACTCTGAGTGTCAGAGCACAGTAAAAGCTAGCTTGTTAAAAATCTTGTGATGCGATCGCTTTTACCAGCTCTGACGAACAGCGGCCATGTTAGATTTCCGTCAATCAAATAGAACTGCTCCGCAGTGAATCTGCAGTTGAATGTCATCAGACCATAATGAAACGTAAAACAGATTTAATTCTGCTTTATTTAATTATCCTTACTGTATTAAAGCAGAATGTTGCTTGTGTTGTGGTACTGACCTTCGACTGCAAGCTATCCTTAGTTCAAACTTCCAACTCCGCGTTGGCCACTTGCTTCTTGTCTCGTCTGCACGAGATAACAACAGCGCAAGGCGGAAAAGGCAGCTCCAGGCGGGCACAGCTGTGACGTACGAGACTTATGACCTCCAAATATGAGAGCTCCAGGGGGACAAAGCTCTGATGTACTAGACTTGTGACTTCCAAATATGGAAGCGCCCCAGGCAAAATTTTGAAGAAGAACGCCCACGAATATTGACGGTGATGGATAGAGTTTCGTATTGTTGATATGGGTTATACTGTATATGAAATCAAGAGCGAGCTGGCCGGAAATCGAGAGCCTTGGGGTAGAATGGCCTGAACGGAGCATATTATTCAGAAAACATGCCCAACTAACGATATCTTTATCCAAATAAACGAAGTAAAAGCTCATTTTGTAAATTTTAGACTCTAAAAAACGTCCTTTTTGCTTAGCCTGCGAGTTAATGAGCTACGTGGTCGGATAACGACAATCGTGCCACCGGCGGAGCTGTCAAACTTAGCTGCATTGTCTACCTGTAAGATGACGTTTCCGGCTTCTGATAAAATTTATACTCATTCAGATGTCTTACCCGAGGGGTCTAAATTCTCGTGAAGCTGTGTAAAACCACTTCCCGTCTATTCAATTCTTTAACAAGCATCTAATTATGGTTATCCCGAGTTGTATGAAACAGTGCATTTGAATGATACTGTTGCTTATTTCATATGAGGTCAGACTTCCAAACTAAAAGGGTGACATGGGCAATTTTCACAAACAAATAATTAAACTATATTTCAATTAGCCTCCTTTTAAATAAATATACCGTTCTGGGCAAATTAGAATATTTATTAAAAAGCGATAATATTTTTGACGTAAATGATGATTTTATTATTAATGAAAATTAAGCTACTATATGTGGTTCATTTGCTGTGATTACGCTGTCCTTCATGTTTTGCGTTAGTCTACATTTTGCTGCGCGTGCTTGGAATTTTTTAAAATCTGCAGGTCTGGTTATGCCCGTGTTACATGTATGTGATGAGAGTCTAAATTTGGCAATTAGTTCCTTAACTTTTTTAAATAGAATTGCAGTGTAAAATTTTCGACAAGATGTTGGTGCAGTAGCCATTTACTCTTTGTGGATATCCCCCCCCCCCCCCCTCAAAGTTTGTTTTAAATTATCTTTCAATCTTTACGCGTTCAAGGACAGTATAAAGTTATCTGACATATTTTCGTGAAAACTTAATGACAAGCCAAATTAAGTGTCTTCAGTTCATTTCGAACTCAATTTTACTCAAGCAAATTTTTTCTTGAGTAGATCTTTATAACACGCTGTTATAATACAATTTTTCGAAGAGAGGATTTAAATCAAAATTAAAAAATTGAAGCTTCTTACTTAAAAGAATTGAGTATCTCCCGCTTTTCATAATATACTAAGTTATGAACAATGAACTAAGTTATCAGTAGTGGTCTTTTTTACACCCCACATTCGTATGGCCTTTCTTAAAAACATTCAAGTAATGATTTTTTCCATGCTACCAGTAGCAAACAATGCTCTTTTACCTTGATCTGCTACATGTATTTAGGAGACTTTGTCCGAAGATATCATACTTCACAGTGCTTGACCACTTGTGACAGTGAAGATGAGTTAATTACCTGGTTGATTTCCTTTACAGACCTTTGTGATTAGCCGATGCACACCTGGTTAAGAGATAAAATCGGCCTTAAATGCCGATCGTTATCTGTGATCTGGAATCTTACAGTGGTAGATTGCAAAGACTCAATTGCATACCTGGATGAGCATAATATTCACATCTCTTCGAAGAGAATATCATGAGGAAGCAACTGATTTTATCAAGGAGGGTTTCAGTTATACTATAAATAACTGTTGACGTTGCGTAGCTGACAGATATGACGGGTAGCTTTTGTACTGAATTGAGTCGGTACCGTTTATCTCTAAGACACGTACTAAAGTAAAATGGTGGCACTACCAACACATTAAAAAAATCTAATGGGATTTGTAAAATTTTAAAGATGAACGGAAAAGTGAACGATTCTTGCAGGCTATAGGTCGTGCAAACGTGAACAAAGACGGGGTTGTTGATCGAAACAAGATTTGGTCGTAACTTTACATGCACTATGAGATTTGTGAATTCAACTGGTAAACTCACGGTCCGTGCGTATGGAGTGATCACTTCTCGCTCAACATGCACGAAGCCCGTTAGTTCCACCAAGGAGTTATAACTCCTTGGTTCCACACGGTGGGCGTGCGGATATGCGGAGTGAGCAAGAAATAAGTACGTGTATCTAGCGCCTTAACCACGTGCATCGCACGCACCGTAGCCACCCAGGCGAAGTGGGAAAAAAGAGTTTCCTCGCGTGTCCTGCACGACAGGTGAACGAGTTAACATGTCGTACTTTTTCCATTTTTTTTAGAAATCGTAGACCTCACGCAGCGGCTGTTGATCATGTCTAAAAATTTCTACGTGCTGTCTGCGACCTCCAAAATTTGGACTTTTTGGTGTGTGTGTGTGTGTGTGTGTGTGTGTGTGTGTGTGTGTGAAAAGTTATAATAGACAGCAATTCGTGACTTACAAGTGGCATATATTACATTTTTATGAGACTACGTTTTGAACACACGTTTTGATTTAGTTTTTTAGGCGTGAAGGTTTCCCTCTCTGTTGAAACCAGTCGAATACATGCAATATGGTAGTCGTTATACAAACTTACTACAGGCTGGGGATTCAGTCGGAAACTGGTTTAGTTCACCGACAAAGCTTACTTTGAGAAGACCGTTATGAATTGAACATTCTATATTATTCTTTCATATATTCCATTAAAATTTATAGATAGCTTTAAATTTACCTTGAATAGAATATATATAATACTTAATTTATATTTAATGTCATGAAACTTATTGGGCTTTTGTATTATATTCTTCCAGAAAGTATCGTTATGTGGCTTATCATCCTGTGGTACGGTGGTGCTGGGGCTATTTGGGCAAACACCGAAGGGTCCCCGTACCTACTTATGCAGTGACCAAGACAAGAAACACTTTTACAATGCATGGGCATTAGACGGGTTTCAAATTGCCCAATTTGGATTAGAAGCATGAGAACTTATGCAGCTTCGATGATCTGAAGCTTTGTTCGTTACAGACTTAATGTATATCGGATACCATGCTACATGTACAAGGGTATATCTTTGTACCTTCTCTTGAACACAAAAGCTCATGTGTATTGATTGAATTGAAAAAAAAAATTACTTGCTCAAGAATAGTAATTACCAAGACATGCTTTCGAGTTACATGCACGGGCCCAGAGCTACATGTATGAGAAAATTCTGCTAGAAGCCTTTAAAGTATCGTATCAGTATAATCTATTATTTTATAAAAAAAAATTAATGTTTTAATTAGAAACGTTGATAAATCTTTTTAAGAAAGTTGCTAGTTTGTATGAAACAACATTAAAATAACAAATGTAAAATAAAATATATTTCCTTAATTGAATCAGAACATTTTAAGAACAGACCGTATGTTGGCTGTGTTTTTTTTCCACGAGTTTTATCCTTATTGCTAAAAGGTAATACACCTCTCACGTCTTCTCGCACGTTTTCTAGTATAATATGACGTCGCAAGATTTTTTAATTGTTTAAAAGTTCCAGTTGCTCACATATTCATTGTGGCACGTCCTTTCTAACAAACACTATATCTTGGCCTCCTAGAATGGTACCTTCCCTGTAAAGTCCTGTATTTTTGAAGATCTCCCTGATTGCTTTCCCACGTTTTGGCGTATCAGGACCTCCGCCGTGAACTGCGTACTCTATTGTCCATACGTCAACGGTGACGTGTTCCCATGGAAACGATTTGAGGATTTCTATCTCAGCACCCTCTACATCCAAGGTAAAGTAGTCTACGTGATTCCGGCCGATGGCGGCCAGGAGAGAACGAATTGGAAAACACTGTATGCGACTTTTTCCTTCTATCAAGTTTTGTTCCCTTTTAGGAATTACATGACTGTGTTTTGGTATTCCTCCTATCTCCTGAGCAAACGTAAAATCAACCAATGTGGGACTGCGGCCCGTTGCTAAGCACGTATTAACAGCGTAAGTTTTCCTGGAAAGAATTTGAAATAAGACGTTTAGCCAGATGACGAGGAAATAAACGAACTTTTTTGATACGGGTAATATATTCAAGATCAGCAAAACGAACATGTCGATCAGTAAAGACTCTCATTCTATATCTTGGATACACATTTTGATCGTCGTTAAGTATAGAATTTAGATGAGCGTAGAAAGCAGCATGCCAAATTCATATTGACGCGAATTTTAAGCTTGATGCTTCAATTTATTTCCAATAATAATAATAATAACTTTGTGACATTCTGTTCACTTTTTTAAATCTGAGAGACTGCCATCTTCTCTTAACAATACGAGACAAAAGAATGTGTGTATGGGAAAAAACGCTGTACGCTTAATGTGCTCCTGAAGAAAAATGAATCAGGCACTGTGACAACTGAAGTCAAAAAATCCAACAAAGCACATGCATCACCGCTACACTAAAGAGGCGATGACTCTCTCCTTTCTGCTCGTAAACTACCCTCACCTGTCTTTGTTCAAAAGAACTTCAAAGGACCACGGGTTTGGCTCCACAAGCAATCCTTTCCAGTCTCGAGAAACCTCGAAGAAGAGAGAATTGGAATGAGCCTCTCCATCATATGCTCCTGATTCCACGAAGAATCCTTTGCGACGTTGCTTCAGAATCTTGTCTACCAATTTTGACTGCCCCATTTGATCCCAGTATGTTGCCTTTGGGTTGGAAAGATTATAGGGCAGCTTGGAAGGAGGAAGAATCCATTTCCCTCTTAAGTGTTCTAAAAGATCTTCATTGAGGGAGTCTATGTTCCCTGTTCCTAGACGTTTAATGAATTCTGTGGTTAAACTGTTACTGTGTGGAAGTTCTTTCATAGAATTACTTAAGTGTTTTGATAAATGATCCAATTTCGTTTCACAAACGGGATGAAAAATATACATTGAAGTGCAAAGAACTATGATAATAACGGCAAGAACAGCAATTGTCCATTTGTTCATCGTCATCTTGTTTGTTTAATTTATCTGTGGCGTTCCTGCTTTTTGACTTATTTCTACGGTCAACTGAAAATAGATTGGAAAGAAAATGACGTGATGAAAAAGGCATTGAGATCGCGTGTTTTAAGCCTATTGTTGTGAACCGTCCAGAATGACTTTCACTTTAATAAATAATTGAACTGAATTTCAGTGTATCAATTTCCATTAACGAACTAACTAATATATGGGCTCCGACATGACTCCAGATTTGACTCAGTCTTTCACTTTACGTGCACAGAGAAGCATAACAGAACAACCTCACATTTTCAGTCTCAGATCCAAAAGTGTCTTTATTATGTACATGTACAACATTCACGTTTTATACACACTATATCTACAGGGAATCTATGCGTACAAGTGGCTGCTGCCTGTTTACATACTAATTGTTGTGCAATATTAACAGGTGATATGCATCTGTCCCAGGCATAGGCCTACCTATGGGCCTCTACAGAAAATAATATTTAAATATTCAGGACAGACGTAAATTAGATAATAACATGTTGATTAACTATGATTAAGGTTTATTGAGGCGCTAGAGAAACAAAGGAAGAATTTTTCCTGCACAGCTTCATAGGAATTTTAACACGGACTTGATCCAGCTTAGACCTCCAAACTAATAGGGTGACATGGGCAATTTTCACAAACAAATAATAAAACTATATTTCAGTTAGCCTCCTTTTAAATAAATATACCGTTCTGGGTAAATTAGAATATTTATTAAATCGCGAGAATATTTTTGACTTAAATGATGATTTTATTATTCATGGAAATTAAGCTACTATATGTGGTACATTTGTTGTGATTACGCTGTCCTTCATGTTTTGCGTTAATCTACATTTTGCTGCACGTGCTTGGAATTTTTTTAATCTGTGCGTACAATTTTTGCAGGTCTGGTTATGCCCCTATTATGTGATGAAATTCTTAATTTGGCAATTAGTTCCTTAGCTTATTTAAATAGAATTGCAGTGTAAAATTTTCAACAAGATGTTGGTGCAATAGCCATTTACTCTTTGTGGATATTTCCCCCCTCAAAGTTTGTCTAAAATTATCTTTCAATCTTTACAAGGACAGTATAAAGTTATCTGACATATTTTCGTGAAAACTTAATGACAAGCCAAAATAAGTGTCTCCAGTTTATTCCGTACTCAATTTTTCCCAAGCAATTTTTTCTTGAGTAGATCTTTATAACACGCTGTTATAATACAATTTTTCGAAGAGAGGATTTAAATCAAAATTAAAAAATTGCAGCTTCATACTTAAAAGAATTGGGTTTCTCCCGCTTTTCATAATATACTAAGTTATGTACAATGAACTAAGTTATCAGTAGTGCTCTTTTTTACACCCAACATTTTTAAAAAAAATCCGTATGGCCTTTCTTAAACACATTAAAGTAATGATTTTTTCCATGCTACCAGTAGCAAACAATGCTCTTTTACCTTGATCTGCTACATGTTTTTGGGTTTGACAAAGCTTACAAATTTGCAAAAAGTTTTGCGTACAGCCGCAAAACTTGCGTTTCAAGTTATAAAATGATGAATCTTTAAAATTATTTAATATTTCAGATGAAATAACCTTCAGAAACAAATCCTCAAAGCATAAACGAATTAGGATTACGAACTATTTTATTACAGCAATCCCCATTTTTTCTTTAATATACCGCTCTTTCTCCTGTTTTCCTCAACACGATTTCTTCCACAGAAATTATGCCTGGGCATACGCATGCTTCAAGATACCCTAAGAGCAATTACTATTATTAATGTTCGCAACCGTGTTTGAACTCAATTGTTTAAATATTGATATTTAACGTCATTTACAAATACCAATAAAATAACTCCATGAAATAAATGAGATATATTGAAAAATATGGAAGCCCACCAAGACGAGTTTGAAACCTGTTATTACCTGGCATGGGAAGTGCAGCGGTGCATAATTAACAGGTTTTATTGTTAACGAGCTCTTGGTCAACTACAATAGGGACAGTCGGTCATCCGGCATCTGGGGTAAAGCTACCCGTGCAATATGGCGGAACGCATTGACTTCTATGTAAAAGTCGGTAGACTTTGTCCGAAGATATCATACTTCACATTGCTTGACCACTTGTGTCAGTGAAGATGATTTATTTACCTGGTTGATTTCCTTTACAGGCCATTGTGATTAGCCGATGCACACCTGGTTAAGAGATAAAATCGGCCTTAAATGCCGATCGTTATCTGTGATCTAGAATCTTACAGTGGTAGATTGCAAAGACTCATTTGCATACCTGGATGAGCATAATATTCACATCTCTTCGAAGAGGAAGCAACTGATTTTATCAAGGAGGCTTTCAATTATACAAATAACTGTTGACGTTGCATAGCTGACAGATATGACGGGTAGATTTTGTACTGAATTGAACCGGTACCGGTACCGGTACCATTTTTATGACATAATTTTCTTTGTTTTTGAAAATCTTGTCTGTTTTGATTTTCAGTCTCGTCTCATCTTTTAGGTAAAAGTGCGCTTGCACTAAAGTTTGCTTCAATAAGCGGGTATACAAGCAGTTACGCTAAGACGCGCAGTGGACACAGTCCGTACATGTATTTGTTTTCTCAAGTGCCCTTGCACGCAAGCAGGCGTATCAAATATTTCTATATGTCTAAATGGTGTACATGACAAACAGTTAAGCGCACATGCGGGCTTCCTGTACAGTACATTTTGGGCAACTACGGCTTATAAATTACAAAAGAGCGTGTCAACAGTGAAGCTCACTTGAGTTCTGTCTTCCTTATAGCTTACACTGACTCAATCCACCTATAATCCACCCACCGATGGTAACTGTCAGCCTGATTTCATACTACTCCTAAACAAAATTCCCTGACTAGTACCTATTATTCCTTCTGAAATGTACGTTACAGCATGGCTGTCTAAATAGCCAGACATCTAATTTTGAATGGTACATAACATTGAATCCGAATAGAGGGACGGATCGAGCGTTGACCATTGGGTCGAAAAATGCTTTTATTTCGAGGACAATTCGATTAGGATGCCTTAAAGTTCGCGAAAACCAGTTTGTTGTGTGTGGGCGGTACATAAGGGCAGCCCCCTACCCAGCAGCTAGGGCAGGATATAGCATAGCTGCTTTGTAATTTGCCACTCGGACAGTACACAGATATAGAATAACGAGACAGTAAATCCTACATGGAGATTATCTAAGGCTCTGTTCTCACAACTTTTAGATCGATCTATCACCGCGGGGAGTCTCACTAGATTACTGTCAGATAATCCCCCTTAAGTGTCCGTCCCCGCCTACTACAAGCTTTAAGGGGTAATTAACTTTCGTGTCCGCCCGGCTGACAGCTATTTAGCGTGAAC